CTATATTTCTTAATAAACTTGCTTGATATAAGCCATCAACTTATGCAAGATCTCCTGGTCACAACTTTCTTCTTTATTTTCTCATCCTCAGCCCTCTCCCTTAAGAACTTGTCCCTGAAGAACAACCTGCTAGTCCAGGTCACACTTTCTTCTGTAAGTCGCCTTAGTCATGGTGTGCTTTATCACTATAATAGAAAAGTAACCAATACAGTTATCTTCCTCCCTCTCTTTCTAAGTACTGCCCTCCTCCTTCCCCAGATAAAGTCTTGAATCATTCCTGTTACTTTTCTATTGTACTAGAGCACCATGCCCAAGACGTTTTATAGATGGAAGAGTTTATTTGTGCATGTGGTTTCAGAGGGTTAGAGTTCATGATGTCAGAGCAGAGGAGGTAGGCAAGGCAGCTGGAACAGCCTGCTGAAAACTCACATCTTGAACCCCAAGCAGGAAGCCTCAAGAATAAACTCAAAATGGCAAGGGTCTCCAAACTCTCAAAGCTTGCCTCCAATGACATACCTTCTTCAACAAGGTCACACTTCCTAAACCTCCCAACCAGCACCACCAACTGAGGACCAAGTATACAGAGACCAATATAATGGGACATCTTAATCAAACCACCAAAGTCACAAATACATTTTGCTAAATGGACGTATTGTCAAACTGCCTCTCAAATATTTATCTTTATATTCATAGATTAGTGCTGTCCTCAGCCTTGATTAAAGAAGCTTCTCTATGCAGTGACTAGTTGTTAGTGTAGATTCACACTTGGTCAAGGTGCTAAGAAAAGCGAAATGTTGAGTACTCAGCATTAAATGAGACACCAACATTTCCCCTTCCAAAGTTCAGTACACAACACTTAAAAGAAGACAAAAGAATATAAGAGTTTAACTATAGGAAAATGGGTCACAGAGTAGTGTTTTATGGGCATGACATGGTTATGGCACTCAAATTCACAGCAGCATAGTTCCTACACAATACTGGCCAGTAAACATATAGTCATAGGTGCAAAGGGACTCGTAGGGGTTTATAGGACTTCACTCTGACTAGGGGACCAATGACAGTTGAGAGTTATGGGGGAGGGGCAGGGGAGTAAGGAGACAAGACATTATTGTCTTCAGTGATATAGCTCTGGTGGAGACTGTCCTGGTAATTTTTTTTTGCCCTGGTTTAATTTTTGTTGTTTTTTTGTTTGTTTGTTTGTTACGTTGGTTGGTTTTTGTTTTTGTCAACTTGACACAATCCAGAGCTAACTGAGAAGAGGGAATCACAGAAGAAAATGCTTCCATAGACAAGCCTATAGGCAAGACAGTGGGACATTTTCTTAACTGGCAATTGATGTGGGAGAGCCCAGCCCTCTGTGGAGGGTGTCACCCCTAGGGTTTGAAGTGTATATGAAAGCAGGCTGAGCAAGCCAGTAGAGTGAGCCAGTAAGCAGCACTCTTCTGTGGCTCCTGGTCCAGTTACTGCCTCCAGGCTCCTGCCTTGAGCTCCTTCCCTGACTTGCCTCAGTGATGGACTGTAGCCTAAGAAGTGTAAGATGAAATGAACCTTTCCTCCCCAAGTTACTTTTGGATTTTTATCCCAGCAAACAGAAAAGGCCATAGCTTCACATCCATTCCCAGATGAGTATCCCTGGTTAAACCGAGTGGATCACAAAGCAAAAATAAATACCTGAAAGTGGTATGGAGATGTGATAGGAGGGCGAGAGAATGAGTGGGGGAGGATAAGACAGGTCAGAGGAAATAATGTGACTAGAGTGTATTATATAAATGTATGAATTTGTCAAAGAACCAGTCAATTTAAACAAAAAGGACATGTAACACAACTTGAACAAGAAAGCTTAACCTTACTAATGACTCCCAAAGCCCGAAAAATCTAAGATAAAAGCCTCAATTCTTTACATAACGGTCACTGAGCTTCTGCTCTTCACTTACTTCCTCCCCTGGAAGTATGTCTTTTTCTAATAAACTGTTTCTGTTTCTGCTACTACCTACCTATCTCTGGTCAATTCCTTTCTCTGCGAAACAGGAACCAAGAATCTTCCTGAAGTGTCTACTTCATTCAGTATGGACCAATATCATAAGAACTTTAAAAAGCAATGGTGGGCTCTACCCAAAGAATGGTGAAAACTAGCCTGGGATCATTTCTCTTTACATATGCAAGAGCCAAGAACTCAATCAACAAACTCCTTTTCGCCAATATAATGACCCAGGCTCCAGGAATTTTCTAGGCTGCATTCTAAGTCTGCTCTATACCTGGACATCACATCCTAGCCATTTCTCTCCCTACCTCTAGAACCTCCCTTGACCTAGCACCGCTCTCCTTACTAAACTCTTTCATAAGTGCTTGCTTCACTCTGCTTTCTGTTCTGGTTTCACTGCTATGAGACCATATTTTATCTTTATATCTGCCAGATGCAAGGTTACAGGACACAAACTTCCAGAATGTAAGGGAAACAGTTCCTCAGTTTCCTAAGAGGAAACAAACTCATGCATGTATTAACCCACATCACAAAGGCCATTTACATTCCTTAACAGTACAATTTAATTTCTTTTCTAATCTCAAAATTATTGTGGATTGTGGAGTTTAAACCAAAAATGACTTAATATTTTGCTTAAATGTAAAGCATTTGTAAAAGTAAAATCAGTAAGCATTTGCTGAAATGTAAAATTAGTCAGCACTACCATGTTTTACCTCTATAGGAAGGACATTCTTGTATCTAGTGTATTTTTGTTTTAAGACAGGCATGGGGATGTACACCATCAAATAAGACAGAGTATTAGTTTGGGAACAAGCTAGAATGCCACATCTTCCTGGAATGTTCATTATTCCTGCAGAAGAAAACAGTATTTTATATCAAATCAACCCCAATATGTCACATAGTAAAATGAACAAGTACCATTTTTCTTAAAGATTAGAAAATTCAAGACTTTGGGGCTAGAGAGATGGCTCAGCAGATAAGAGCACTGGCTGCTCTTCCAGAGGAACTGAGTTTGGTTCCCAGCACCCACATCAGGCAGCTCACAACTATCTCTAACACACCTGAAGTCTCTGAGGAGACCTGCACATATCCACAGACAGATACAAATAACTAAAAATAAAATAAATCATTTTTTTAATCCCAAAGACAATTCTCAGATACAGCAGTCAACAATTTGTGGTTTCCCGCAAATAGCCCAGCGGTCTTTACATACTATTTAAAGAAATATTTAAGACATTGAATAAAATATTTAAAGAAATATCTATATGATACTTGTTATCCTTCCTTTTCTTTTTCTCCAGGGGTGTGAAACAATGCCTAAGGTAGTATTTGGCATCTATGGGGCATTCAAAAGCATTTGTAACATGAATTTGCCCATATTAATGCAGCAGAATTTCAATAACAAAAAGCTGTGGGGGGTTGTTTTGTTGTGTTTTTTAATCAAGAATAGATGGAAGAAAGCAAAAAAGTGAACCACTGTATGAGGAAGTAGAGTGCCAGCACTCCAACTTACCAAAACAGTTTATTGCTGCCATGGCAACAATCAGGTGGCTCAACTCAGTTTGGTTCTTCCCCCCTCCCCGTGAACAACACAGAAAGGCAAACATTGTACTTGTTAACTTTCCGTAAGAAGGGCTTAGGACAGAAGTTTGTCAGGTGACACTGATACCTTTAGTGACCTTTGACAGCCTTTGGAAAGGATGATGATAATCATCCACTAGTTAAGGTAAGTCCTGGTTTGTCAACTGATTGTAGAAAAGTCAATATAATCATTGAGAGGTTAAGTGTCATATGTCTACTGCTGAAATCTAATCAGGAAAAAAGGAGCATGATCATACCTACACACAGACGGTATCTCTCCCTACTTCGTTCTTAAATCGTTAATTTAAAAACAAAAATAACCAGGTGTGCTGGAAAGATGGCTTAAAGAAAAGCCATAGTCTGCAGCAACAGTGTTTAATTTTTTTTCTCCTTCCCCGGGTGAGACACTGTGGAGTTTGTTTTTCCCCCACGTGTATGCAAGGGATTAGCCCTCACACCCAGTTTCTCAAATAATGTCACAGTGAGTCACTCAACCTCCCTGTACAAAATTCCCTTATCAACCAGAGAAACTGGGATGACAAAGCATGTGTTGTGGAGCAATCTGAAGGAGCACGACACCTCCTTTCTCTGAGACCTAAGTCTTAGATACAGAAACTGACACTTAAAATGCAGCCTTTCAGGTCTTAATAACAGCATCCAGTGCTCAGTGAGACTGCAGCTAAAATATAAACACAAAGCTGAAAAACTTGCAGAGAAAAGCAGAAATGTAGCGAGAGGAGAGTGAAGGTCTGATCCTGAAATCGCCCTGTAGTCCTCCCCTCATTGAGAATAAAGTTAATAACTTGACAATCAGTTATCCTTATTAAAGTAAAGTCATGGTGTGACTGTCTCATTTTACTTACTGAATAAAAACAATTTTCAGCATAGAAGTCCTGGGATCATTTTTCTGACTTTAATTAACTGGGCAAGGCCCTTGAGGCTCCTGAATTTAAATTTCTAGAATTCTTTCTTGTTCAGTCGGAAAAAAATAAACCTACTTCCCAAGGTATCCTTAAAATAAAACGAGTGATGTAATGCATATCAATGAGACTGTGTATCCAGTGGTACTGGAGCTTCGTTTTCGGCCTTAGCAAACAACAAATGCACAACTTTTATATAGTATGCCAAGCTGGCAAAATGCCTAGGCTAGCCTCTGAGTGCAGCTGGGAAGCAGCAGTAGGGTGACCCGTCAGGCCAGGTGAGCCACCAAGAGTGTGCCCGCCTTGGCCGCTTCAGAGGGAGGCTACAGGTGTCAGTCACCAGGGTCCTTTCAGGAAGTGCTCAAACCTCACTCAGGGAATTTCTTCCCTACCAGCAACACCAGATCTCTTTTCCTTTTCGGAAAAGTCACCACCAGTTGTTGAGCAGAAAAAGCAACTCACAGATTGGGTATCCCGATTGCATAGAGCCCGCCACCAGCGCTCGCAGGACCACGCACCTGGGAATGAGTCGGGCCTCGTCTCCTAGGCGCTCGTGGAAGTCCCGCCACGCCGGACCCGGGCTCTCTGGTTCTGCCGCGTCCCAGGCGCCCTGGGACTCCGCACTGTCCCGGCCGAACGCTCCGCGGAAGCCGCGCGCGAACTCCGGGAAGGTGATGGCACCATCGCGGTCGGTGTCGAGCCCCAGGAACACCGCCTCCGCTTCGGCCTCAGCCACGTGCAGCTCGGCGCACAGCGCGCCGAACTCGGCACGCTCCAGGCGCCCGGAGCCCTTCGTGTCGTAGGCGGCGAAGACCGAGCGCAGCCGCGCCAGCTCCTCGGGGTCCGCGTCCGCCTCCATGGCGCCGCTGGCCACCGCCGGGCTCCGGGCTCCAGGGCTCGGCCAGAGGAGCAGGTCGGGCCGGTTCTGCCACCTGCCCACCTGCCGCGGGCGGGGATGTCCGGGTGAGGCGGGGCGCAGGCAGAGAGAGGCGCTTGCCTCCAGCTGCAGCCGCCAGATTGCTGCCCCGAGCTACCGAGTGCCACTTGGCACCTCCCAACCGGTCGGCTCCACCTATGGTGGAGCCAAGACACAGCTTGACTCCCAGGCTTTCATCTGCAGTAGCTGGACGGTCTTTCTGTTCGGCTTTGAGAGACTTAGCAGGAACTAGGGGCACTCTGCCCAGATCCTAAAGGCCTGTTACTCAATTTCCCCTTTTCTGAACCATGAATATGGATGCTGCCTGCCTGCCTGTGGAGTGCTAATTCCCTGACAAAGGGGGAAAAGGTGGGTAGGGATAAGTTCCAAACTGGCCAAAGTTATTGGCATTGTATTTATTTTCTCTTAATTCCAGACACATGATAACTTTGCCTATACACATCTTTACTTTTTAAAAATTAAAGAAGAAAAGACCTTTCTGTAATTTTACGGAAATTGGAATTGTCACATTGATCTTCCATATGCCTAAATTGAAACAATTTTGTCACTCCGTGACTCCTCGGCTTTAGAGAAAACTAATACCAAAATCACTTAGAACTAGCATTCTTTTTTTTTTTTTTCTTACTTTCTTACTTTCTTTTTTGCTTTTTGAGAATCTCTCCATTAACAGTCTTAGATGTCCTGGAACTTGATTTGTAGACCAGGTGACCTCGAACTCACAGATATTCACCTGCCTTTGCCTCCCAAGTGCTGGGATTAAAGGCATGGGCCACCAGGACCGGTTTCTTTTTAAGTTTTTATTGAAAAAAAAAAAGTTATATATTTTTGATCATGTTTTCCCCTACCCCAACTTCTCCCCTACTCTCCCCTCCTCACCTCCTTCCACACCCAACTTTATGGTTTCTCTCTGTGTTTCTCAAGAAACAAAACAACCAAACAAAACATTCAAACAAAGGAACAAAAAATAGTAAGGAAAAAAAATACTAAAACACAACAAAAAGCCCGAAGCAGGGCAGGGGGCATGGAGTTTGTTTTGTGCTGACCAAGTACTCCTGGGCATGTGGCCTGCACTGCAGTGTGGTTGATATACCCAGTGACACTCTGTGGGAGCAAACTGAGTTGCCATCTGCCACCAGCTAGCAATTGCATATGGTTTCTTGATTAGGGGTGGGACTTTGCACCCACTTCCGCTTTACAGTGTTGCGATTTCATCGGGCATGAACATGGCTGCCACAGTCTTGTTAGTTCATTTGCGCATCAGTCCTGTTGTGTCTGGAAAACATTGTTGCCTTGGAGTCATCTACTACCCCTTACAATCTTTGTGCCACCACCTCCACATAGATTCCTGGAAACCTTGAAGAGAGCGGTTTGATAATGGCATCCCATTTAGGGCTGAACAGAGTCACCCTCTGTGCATTATTCAGTTGTGGGTCCCTGTGTTATTACTATCAACTGCAAGAAGCAGCTGCTCTGATGACTGAGCAAAGCACTGATCTATGAGTATAGCAATATATCATTAGGAGTCATTTTATTGTTATGTCCTTTAGCAGAATAAGAGTAGTGGGTGTTTCCCTAAGCCCATGCTCTATGTAGTTGTAGGTTCTAGGCAACTTTAGCAGTGTCAGGTACGGGTTCTATCTCATGGATCGGTCCTTAAATCCAGTAAAACGGTGGCTGGTTACTCCCCTAATGTTTGAGCCAGGACTATACCAACTGTAATAGGTCACAGGGTTAAACAAAGAGCAGAACAATTTTGGTTTTGTTCTTTTTTTCTCTAAACAAAACATATGAATATTACATATTCCTTCGGTTTTAAACATCTGTACTGACAATGTTGTTTCCTTGACACTAACTCCTTTATGCATAGTGTCTTTAAAACTGTTCCATTTCATTCTTGCCCAGATAAGCAGTTACTCATGCCTCTAATTCCTGAAGAACGAGGATTTCCATGAGTTCAAGGCCAGTTTTGGCTGCATAGCAAGACCTAGTCACATAATAATAATAACAACAACAACAAAGAAAAACTCCCCTTGCGGGCCGGGCGGTGGTGGCGCACGCCTTTAATCCCAGCACTCGGGAGGCAGAGCCAGGCGGATCTCTGTGAGTTCGAGGCCAGCCTGGGCTACCAAGTGAGTTCCAGGAAAAGGCGCAAAACTACACAGAGAAACCCTGTCTCGAAAAACCAAAAAAAAAAAAAAAAAAACTCCCCTTGGGTTTCCACTTCCAGGAAACCCTCAGTCTGTCATAACGCTCACTGAAAGGTTTCTCAAGCTCCTGGACTATGAAAATACATTTGGATTACTTTCATAGTAGTCATGTTATTAATTTCCTCTACCGTTAGGGTTGTATTTTATGGCCATCTCTTTTCATTGTGATGCTGTATATTAGTTATCTGTTACTATGACAAAATGACTTACAAAAGCGAGTTAAGGAAAGGGTTTATTGGCTAACAGTTTCTGAGTATACATTCCATCATGACAGAGTAGACATAGCACCAGGAGCAGGATGGGTCTGGTCATATTGCATCCACTGTTAGGAAGTAGACAAAGGTAAATGCTTCTACTTAGCTTGCTTTCTTTTTTTCTATTCAGGACTGGATTCAACCTCAATCCTACATCTTCCATGCCCATAGAATCCATACAATGTGGATGACAATGCTAAGTGCTACTACCAGCTCTGGTTGGAGCATGGATCCCTAAGGCCATAGCTGTGTGGGCTTCCATGTACCAACCCTGAGCAACAACACTTCCTTAGGTGGTTGCTTATGAACAGGGAACTCCTTCAAGTCACAGTTTCAGTTTAAGCTCTCTCTCCTTTATAATATGGACCTTTCTTGGGTAAGGTCTGGCCCTCAGGGAACCTTTACTATGGCTCCGTTGCAGAGCACAGGCTTTCTCTTTGGTGATGCTGAGCTCTTCAGCACTACTGATGCTTTGTCATCTGCACTCTCTTTTAAACCAGCTCATACAACTTTCCACTCCAAAATTCACATTTTTCTTATCTTTTTGCTCTCCTGCTGGAGATTTAGCTGAAAATGTTGAGCAATAACCACGACATTATCAAACCATTAGTCCCTTGCCTGCAATTTTTCTCCAATCAAGTGCTCAAGGCAAAGGCAAAAAGCAGCCAGATTTTTTGCCAGAATATTACATAAATGGCTCTTAGCTCAGTTCCTGATAGAATCTGTTTCCTGTAAAACCTCCTGAGGTGGGCTTCCACTGTTTGTGGTTTTCTTGGTATTCTAGTCTTATGACCTTTCACTAGACTATCCATTAAGCTATACTCAAGGGCTTTTCTAGTCCATACTTCCAAATTCTTTCACATTCAACTTACAAGCCATTTCCAAAGCCCTATGAACTTGGTCACAGCAACAGTACCAATTTTCTCGATTAGTTATTTGGTATGTTCCCAGTTCTATAACTTTTCCTGGGGAAATGCAACACACTCATTTACTCACTCCCAGACAGGGAGCCCATAACAGACCAAAATATAGATACCACCAAAGTTCAACTTAGTGAACAAGTGAGTTTTATAGGGGTGATTTATAGGAATATGAATGTGGTGGTTTGAAAGAAAATGGCCCCTAAAGGGAGTGGCATTATTAGGAGGTGTGGCCTTGTTGGATGAAGTGTGTCACTGTGGGGTGGGCTTTGAGATCTATGCTTCTCATAGTGTGCCACATAGGTGCTTCTGCTGCCTGTGGGTCAAGATGTAGACCTCTCATCTCCTTTGCCAGCATCATGTCTGCCTGCATGTCACCCTCTGTGATGATAATGGACTAAACCTCTAAACTGTAAGCCCCAATTAAATATTTTCCTTTGTAAGATTTGCCATGGTCATGATGTCTTTTCACAGCAATAGAAACCTTAACTAAGACCATGGATGAGGACTTGCTTACAAGAGCAGAAATGGCTCAAAGACAGTTGTATCAACAAAGCTCACTCTAGCAATAGTGACAGCTCACCAAATTAGAAACCTGGATCACATTGCAATACCTACAGGCAATCATTAGGTTGGAGAGTGTTCCTACCAGGTAGCTCAGCTATCTACCCCTCTTCCTGGAGACTTAGCTGGTGCCTGCTTCTTCTTTACAGCTTGACTTGCGTGAGAATGACTCTCAGTTATCTCTATTGTTTACTCTTGGGAGGGTGCTTGTAATGAATATCTGTTCCATGATCCTGAAGTACAGCCCTAGAGACATAGCAGGTAACTGCTCTACCTGCCTATGACCTTGAAGTACATGCCCCTTGGGCATGGCCTCTTGGCTATCCTTAAGACTTGAGATGCACATATGCCGCTGTCTTCTCTCCCTCATGGGTTTGGGTGCTGAGATGGACCAGGCAGAAGAATATAGCATGGTACTATAACTCGGCTTTCGAGGACCCTAGGATAAATCTCCCATGCTGCAGTGAGTTTTCTTCCCTAATAAATTCCATCACCCTTTGTAGCACGAATCTTAAATGGTCTTATTAATAAGAACAAACCAAAAGTCAGGTATTGGGGTGAACGCTGGAAGATCAGAGAAGCAGAACAAGCCACAGCCACCTCACCTTGCCAATTCCTCAGCTGATCCTGTTTCCTAAGACTGGAAACCTCTGTGTCCTCATCCAAATGGCTGAACTGCCACTAAAAGCCTGAAAGCTTAACAAGGCCTAGTTCCTCGTCCTCATGCCTTAAATACCTTTCTGCTTCCTGCCATCACTTCCTGGTATTAAAGGCTCTTGTTACCATGCCTGGCTATTTCCACCATCTCTGTGGCTTTGAACTCACAGAGATCCAGACGGACCTCTGCCTCTGGAATGCTAGGATTAAAGGTGTGTGTGCCACCATTTTCTGGCCTCTATGTCTATCTAGTGGCTGTTCTGTTCTCTGACCCCAGATAAGTTTATTAGGGTGCACAATATTTTGGGGAACACAATAACACCACAACCCTTTAAACAGATTCCATGGATTTCTTGCATTAGGAGGTTCCTAGCAAACCTGATCAGTTTTAGGGATGTCC